CAAAGCATCGCCGGGGGTGGAGCGAGGTGACTGTCCTGCTCTGCTCTCCACTGGTGTGGCCTCACCTGGAATATTGTGTGCAGGTTTGGGCACTGCAATAAAAGAAAAGTATAAAGTTATTGGAGAGCATCCAAAGGAGGGCAACAAGGATCGTGAAGGGCCTTGAGGGGAAGCCATATGAGGAGCAGCTGAGGGCACTTGGTCTGTTCAGCCTGGAGAAGAAGAGACTGAGGGAAGACCTCATTGCAGTTACAACTTCCTCGTGAGGGGAAGAGGAGGGGCAGGCACTGATCCCTTCTCTGTGGTGACCAGTGATAGGACCTGAGGGAATGGCCTGAAGTTGTGTCAGGGGAGGTTTAGGTTGGATATTAGAAAAAGGTTCTTCATCCAGAGAGTGGTTGGGTGCTGGAACAGGCTCCCCTGGGAAGTGGTCACAGCACCAAGCCTGGCAGAGTTCAAGAAGCATTTGGACAATACTCTCAGGCACATGGTGTGACTCTTGCGGATGGTCCTGTGCAGGGCCAGGAGGTGGACTGGATGATCCTTGTGGGTCCCTTCTAACTCAGCATATTCTGTGATTCTGTGAGGACCCCTGGGTGACTTGGAATATGTAGGCAGTCTGTGGTACGTGACACAGGAAAACATCCTGCTGGGAGTTGGGAGGAGACGTGATCCACTCTTCTTTCCTGCTTCGTCCCTGGTAAGGTTGCTGTGCTGCCTTCAGATGCTCTTACTCAATTAAAAGTCCATGCTGTCAGTGACTAAGGCTGTGTGTGTAAGTGCAGAAGTAAGTTTCTGAGCAGAAACTGCATATGTTACAACAAGCAGCAAAGAGACAAACACAAGTCACTTCTCAACTACAGTGGAACTGGAGAACATGCAAAATAGAACAGCATGGTATATTCCTAGTTTTACAATTCCCTAAAGGTTTTCCTTGAAATGGGTCTATGCAATTGGCTTTGGTTTTACAAGGATTTAGTGTAAAAATAGTGATTTTTAGGAGAGGCACAAACCCTGTGTCCTCACTGTGCTTTTTAGTCACCAACAGCATTTTCCCAAAATTTGTTTCAGTCCATGTCACACAGCTGATTCCCTTTTCTGACCACAACTCTTTAACGTTAGATCTCAATTTGCAGTTTGAATTATCGGTGTTTTCCTTACCATCACACAGCAGAGACTGGGGCTCCAGCATGGCAGGTACCACACAAGCACAGTGAGAAAGCTGCTGGTAACCTATACACAGCATGAGGTGCTGGCCAGGGAGATCCTTTTAATTTGATGTTTGATGGGCTGGGTAGTGCTAGTGCTGGGAAAGCTAAAGTACATGAAATGTGAAGTAACAGATATCAGGAATGAGCACAGGACAATGAAGCTTTAGAAACGATGTGGACAGCAGGGAAGGACGGTGATACAGAAGAGCTGTAATGGGGGAGATTCAAGGTGATCCCTCCCATGTCCTCCACATGGACATTGAGGATGTCACATCTTGAGAAAACGGGGAAGGAACAAGTAGAGATAATTCAGCAGGATGCTTTTACTGTGCACATTCTGTGTCAGGGAGGCGCTCGGGGGAGAGCTGGGCTGGGAAAGCGCTGGCGTGGCCAGCAGCCAACAGAGGCCTACAGACCGATGTCTGTCCCATCCCAGGGGAACGAAGTCTGCCCCATCCAGAGCTGCCCTGGCTGTGGCCGCAGGCAAGGGGTCGGTGTCGCCACTACCAACACTCGGTGCCGCCCAGTACAACTACAAACCCTGCTGGAAACCACCGGGCCGATACACTCCAGCTGCCATTGGAAAATGGACACAAGGGGCTGGGGAAGATGAAAAACCGAAGAACACCCATTGTTTCATAGAATGCCTGTTGTGACCTCTTAAAAGACGCTTGCTGGGTTGAATCCAATTATCCACAATAACGACCCTTCCTGGTTTTGGGGTGGGAGCTTAGGGTTATTTTTAAGGCCGGACAGTCAGGCCGGCAGAAGAGCGCCTTCCCCGCCGCACGTGGCTGGCGGGATCTCGACGGGAGAGCTTCAGGCGACTGTCGGGAAGCTTCAGGAACAGGG